TGAAAGTTGAAGTACTTTCTTAGACTAAGAGATTTTAAGGTCCAAGGAATGAATTCTCTTGAATCAAAGAAAATATGTTTGAGTTAATTGAAGACACGGGTGAAGGGGAGAAAAACCTGCGATAACTCTTTTGGAACAAAATAAAAAACTTACAACAACAGCTTATGATTAGGCTGTAAAAGAAGGTAATGATGATATCTTATTACAGGACAAGTCAACATTGCAAAGGCTCATAGGAAGACTGATTTATTTGACACATGAGACTTGATATTATGTATGTTGTGAATCATCTGAGTCAATTTATGCAGCAACAGAAACAATCTCATTTAGATGCACCGCTCAGATTGGTGAAGTATATCAAGAAGGATCCTAGGAAAGGTTTTTTGCTAACTTGCCTCAAGCAACCGACATCTTACAGCCTTTTGTGACGTAGACTGGGCCTCATGTCCTATGTCAAAGAAGTCTGTAACTAGTTTCTACATCAAGTTTGTCGTAACTATTTTTTTTGAAATAAATTTTAAAAGTAATTATGACATTATTATTATTTTTAAATTGTGGATTCTTGATAAAATTTGATTTAATTTGAATTTAGAGTCACCGTCGACCTTTGAGTTAGGTAGGTCGAATATCTAAAAGTATTTTTTAAAATAATTTTAAGAAAAATTATTTAAAAGACGAAAATTAGTTTGTGTATTACTAAATTTTTTTTTTAAGGGTTTATGAATCGGTTATGCGTGGGGAATGATTAGTACAATCACAACGTCAAAAATTAGTACCTAATCACTTATATGTTACTGTGGAAGTGTAATTTGCAAATTTGAGTCAAAAACTAAAATATGATCCTTTTTATCGAGCGTTGATTTAAATCGCAAAATTGCACAAGAATAGAGTCGACTTATTTCAGGTTTAATTTTCGTTCGAATGTCGTATTAAATCGCACCACTTCTATCTAGTAGTACTTTTCACGTCCATTCAACGACGTGTATTCTTGAAGAGATTCAAGTACATTATTAACAAATATATATGTATTAAATATACAAAGAATAGTAATAAAATATACACGAGTATACCAAAATATAGAAATTTAATCGATATATATTTTTAAAATTAATATCTAATGTGATAATAATAATAAAAATGAGCTATATTAATCATGAAATATCCACTCATATAAGGAGTATAAAATGAAAACAAATTGTTATACATATAAAGTACAAATATATTAAACAATTCTTATTTTCTTTGCGCATGAAATATAGAAAGTAATCTTCTATAAATAAGGTATAGTATTATATAAGACAAGAAAGTAAAAAAAAATCAATATTATCAATGAAAAAGCGAAATAAATAAAGAAAACGTTTATATATCGTGTATATATATAGAAATATACATTATGCCATATAAAATATAGGTACATGTATTAAACTAATAAACATCAAATTATTAAGTAAATAAATCAATGTAAATATGGCAAATCCCCCAAAAATGACGATACGAAATAAATTACCCTACTAAAATAACGGTAAAACAGAGGTAAAAGGTAAATAAGGCAGAAATTAAAGTATATATAAAAGACTAAAGTAGAACCATGAAAAGTATATGGACCAAGTTAGAATAAATAAAAACACAGAGGGCTAATAAAGCAATAATGCAATGTTATTCCATGAAATAATTAAGCTAAAACAGTGATAAAAACGCATAGAAATAAATTTATAGGGACTTAATACATAAATATAACAATTTCAAGCAGCATTAAGTAATGTCAAATAAATAAACTAAAATTATAGGGTTTGTTTGTTTGGCTATAATTGGTTTTCCGGAAAATGAATTACTGAAATTTAAATTACTGGAACTGGAATTTAAATTTTGGAAAAAGAATTATATTTCTGGAAAACGTTTTTCCGTAAAATGAATTACATTTTTCTGAAAAACATCTAGAAAACGTTTTATGATGTTTAAAAGATGTTATTTAAACATTTTTTCCACTAGTTGAACAGTTTTTTAAAAATTATTTCTTACAAATATTAAATATAATAAATAATATTATTTATCATGAAACTTAAGACTAGGGTAGTCGAGTAGTGTGGGTCACATCTCTAGGGTGTATCATCTCTGTCTTCTTTTAATGCCTTTGTAGTAATTTTCATGACTCCTACTTTTTATACGTTTCTGTTATTGGTATTTGTGAAGGCTTAGAACTGGCCTTGCTATCGTAGACTTATGTGTATCATTCTCTTCACTTTTAAATTTAGTTGGGTCTTACGTTTCTGTCTATATGCAGAGATTTTTTCGCAGGAGTTTATTTGCAGGGATTACTGTCCATTACAGACGCGCATATGATATTAATGACTGCATATGAATATTGTTCAATTATGTATTTATTTATATATGCATTGCATTTTATCTATATTTTTAATTTTCTGACTGTCGGAGGTCTTCCACGGAAGCTACTCTTAACCTGACGTTGGGGGCAGCCTACTACCCTACCTCCCCTTACCCCATTGCATATGGGAATTGGGTTTTGTTGTTGTTGTTGTATAAAACTTAATATTATTATTTTAAAATATTAAAATAATTTATTATTAAATATTATTTTTATAATTTTATGAATAAAAATAATAATTTTTGTATATTTTAGTGAAATAAAATATTATAAATTATATTAATTATTTATTAAAGTAATAGTGTTATATTATATTTTAAAAATATTAATTAGTATATTTTAAATATCTTTATTAAAATATTATTTAAATATATAAATAATATTATTCATTATTAAATATATAAAGATTTTTATTATATATTATTAAAATAAAAATATAATATCTTATATTATTATAATATAATTGATTATTTTATATAATATCTTATATTATTATAATATAATTGATTATTTTATATAATATTAAAAATATAATATTATATTAATATAAATATTAATAAATAAATAAATAATATTTTGATGAAAATGATATTAACATATTTTATTAATATTAAATTCATAAAAAAATTATTTTGAATATTTATTCTTTGAAGTGAAAAGTTCAGAAAATAACTTAAGGAAAATGAATCCGTAAGTCATTTTACAGAAAAGACAAAGAAAATTCTGTTACTAGGAAAATGAATTACATTCCGGAAAATCAATTACGAGAAACAAATACGGGAAAATATTTTTCGGAAAACGAATTACGTGAAACAAACAAAGGAAAATATTTTTCAAAAAACGAATTACGTGAAACAAATACGAAAATTCGGGGAAAACCAATTCCGTAATTTCAATTACGGCAAACAAACACACCCTAAAATATGCATTTAACTAGATAATATTAACATAGTAAGCTGTGACTAAAATATAAATATGATAAAATAAAAGGATCGAACAAAACATTAACCCATCTTCATTTCATGTCTAAAAAATAATAAACAAAGATCAAAGGACCAAAAGGGCTATTAAGCTCAAACTCCCAAAACGCGCATGCTACCTTGAAATGGTGTCGTTTCACGCAGGGTATTTAAGCCCAAAAATAAGACTAAATTTCCCAAAGCCTATTCATTTTCTTTTTTGTATTTAAATAAAGAGAGTGAGATCTAAACTCTCACAACTTCTCTTCATTGGAGGAGATGACCACCGGTCACCGATGGCGTTCCACAGTCGCTCACAGTGGTCGGAGAGAACAAAACACTCTCAGAACATTCCTTTTTACCTTCCACACCCGAATCCGAGACTACCCTTGCTTGAATCTCAACCAAAACACTTAGATATAGGCTTATACCTTTCGAAATATCCGAAATCTGACGTTCTCTTGGCTTCCCGACGAGCTCCAAACGGTGAGAACTTCCCTTCCTTTCCTCTCTTGTTTTCCTTTATCCCCTTTTTCTCCTTTTATTTTTTCTTATGTCAAATTGACTTTCCGCTGCTCTTGGATCTCTCATCTCTTTCCTCCGAAAAATGGTTCCTCCCTTTTTAATAATGGTAATGGTTTGTGTTTTGGTGAGGGTGATGATGGTGGGTGGTTGAGATCCCAAATTTTCCGAGATTGGTTGTTTATTATTATATTTTTTGACTGATTGTGATGACAGATGAACAGGGAAGCCAACGGTGACGGGAATGGCTCGGTGTAAATTTCCAATGGCGGCGGTGGCGTGCTCTGGTGGCGGCCGAGGAGTCGACTGAAGGCGACGACGACGTGGGTGTTTCTCTAGGGTTTCAGAAAACCCTAAAACATTTGGGCTTGGGTTTGTATGTTGGGCTTCGGTTCGGGTCTTGGGCTTTGTAATTAATTTGACATTCTATTTTGGGCCTAAAAAATAAAATGAAATTATATTAATAATATTAATAGTAATAAAAATTTAATAAGAAATAAAATAAAAATTAATAAAAATAAAGGTCGAACGAAAATCAGTTGCTATAAAGTTGAGAAAATCGTTGATCTTTTGGAAGTCAAAAAACAGAACACGGTTGTTCGATCCTCAACAGAAGCAGAGTATAGAAGCATGACTTCTACAGCTGGGGAAATTATTTGGTTGCAAGGTTTATTTGCAGAACTTGGAGTTTCACTTGAGCAACCAACACAGTTGAAATGGGACAGTAAATTTGTATTGTGGATTGCTGCGAATCCAATTTTTCATGAACGAACTAAGCATATAGAGATTGACTGTCATTTTGCTGAATATGTATCTACAACAGAACAGTTGGCAGATGTAATGACTAAGTCCTTAGGAAGTCAACAACATGAATATTTGATTTCCAAGTTAGAGCTTAAGGATGTTTTTCTGCCCCAACCTGAAACTTGAGGGAGAGTTCAGAGAAGAGGCAGTTAGTTTGATTATTGTTATTTTGTTCAACAGTTTTTTAGTTATATATATATTAAACATGTTTACGTACTTGATGATATATGAGAATGATGAATATTCATGATACGCAAGTTTTTAGAAGTTATAACCACCATGGCTTATGAATACACCAAAGCTGATATATGCAACTGTTGTTGGCTTTTACTTGTTGAGCCATGACAAGCAACCGTGAGAATCTGGAACTGGTACTGGTGGTGTGGAAAGGACTGAAGGTCCAACGCTGAGGAGCTTTTTGAACTTTGGTTTCATGTCGTTGGTAATGGAAGGGCTGAGTTCTTCGAATGAGTTGATGAAGACAACAGTTGCCTGATGCAGGTTCTGGCTTATGAAGACAACATGCGATAGAAGTCTGATTTCAGATCTCCGGAGAAGAGACGATTCCTTCGGGCAAGTCGCGGATGCGTACCTTAGACATTCCCGGAACGAAGTTGATAGTTTCATTTCATCGTCTCCTGTATGCTGTAGCTCCTGAGAATTAAAAGTATAGAGATAGTGAGAAATTAAACCAATTTTACAGAGAGGGAGAAAAGCAACCTTCAACTCCAAACTTTTGTTTGATAAAATCAGTGAAGAAAGAGGGGAAGCTTCAGAAGCAAAAAACGCAACCCAAGCTCTCTTCTGCCATTTCTTTCCCAACCCCAACGAAAGCGCCACTCACCAAACAACTCAGTCTCCTCCCTCTCTCCGTCACCGCCACTTCCACTCCTCTCTTAAAAACCGCATGCTCCACTTTCATGAACGACTCTATCTCCTCTAAAGCGTTGCCTTCCGGTGCCCCATCCCAAACATCATAAGCTTTGACGTTGGGTGGAACTTGTTGAGACTTGGCCAAGCCATTGCTTTTGACGGCGAGGAGTGCAAAAGGGTGGCTGCCGAAGGGGAATGAGAAGACACCGTTGCAGCTTTGATACTTCTGCATGGTTTGCTTAGATATCGCTATTTTGGGGGGTTCACAATCTATTCTGAAATGTATGATACAGAGGCCAATCTTTGCTCACGTGTCGGTCCCAAGGTTTCAAACCTTGTTCTGCCTTACTCGTATAAAAACTCTGTTTTGAAAACCTGACCCCAGTTCAATCGGTTTAATCGGAAATCGTTGCTTAGTCCAGTTTAATCTAAATCGGTTGAACCGCTATTAGTGAACCGGCCAGAACCGCTGAACCGTTCAAACCGGACCGGCTGAAAACCGAAAAAAAAATCGGAAAAAATCGGAATTTTTGTTTTTAAAAAAAAAATTAAACCAAACAACGTCGTTTGTTAAACGAGCCAAGTCGAACTCGAGTATTGCTGAGCTCGACTCGAACTTGAAAACTTTAAAAGTAAACTCAACTCAACTCAAACTCACAAGCTAAAAATTATCAAGTTCAACTCAAACTCGAAATATAATATTAAAACTTGAACTCAAAAAGGCTTGAACTCAAAAAAAAATAGAAGCTCGATTGAAACCTAAAATTCGAGCTTGATTGAAGTTAAAGAATAGTTATATAATTATACTTATATAATTTTGTTATGATTTTTTTAACCCCAAATTTATTTTTTAATTATAGTTATATAATTATATTTATTATTTAATATGTTTTACCTTAAATATTATGTTGTAGTTAATTTGAATCATTTTGTTTCACTTGATTTTATGGTTTTTAACTTATATATGTTATGACTTGCTTTGAATATGACTTGTGATATAAAAAATTATTTTTTATTAAATATTTTTTGGTATTTTTATTTAATTTTTTAAATAATTATGACGTCGTCCGGTTCTTCCGACCGGTCGGACCGGTTCGACCGGTTGAACCAGTAAACTAGTAGCATGACCGATTCGCTAACCGATCCGGTTCTGAAAACCATGTATAAAAAATACACATGTGACAAAGCTTAACAAGTTAAGAGTTCGCTTGAAAATATTTTTTTATTGGTTTCAGGTAAGTGGGTATCATGTGGAATAATATTTTAAGTGGGTCTCATGTAGATTAAGGGGCTGTTTGTTTGGCTCTGAATGAAACCATTCAGTGCTGAATGATTCAGCACAGAAGTACATTCTGAATGATTCAGCACAGAATTACATTCTGAATGATTCAGAGTCATTATCAAACAACATGTCACATTCAGAGCTAATTCATACAGAGCCTCTGAATAATTCATCATTTGAATCATTCAGCGCTTAATCATTTTGAAGTAAACAAACATCCTCTAAAATTTAATATTTTCATAATGACTCATCATATCAAGATGACGAGTATACTTAAAATTTATTTAATTTTTTATATCTATTAAATCATTTAATTTTTTATATCTATTAAATCATTTAATTTTTAAAAAAACTTATAAATCCTGTCATGTCAAGGTAACAAGTTTATTTTGAATTTTAAAATAAGTAGTCGTTGTTCAACTGGTAGCTTTGAAATTTTAAAATATTAGTTGTTGAAACTCGTAATGTCGACATGATGAGTTTCAACGGATATAGTTTAAAAAATATTAATTTTCGTAGTCTTGATGATATCGATGAGTGGTCGAATAATAATGACGCGGTATTCGTCGAATACGTTGGAGTTGTCCGCCTTGATGGTCTTCGTCTTCATCTTCTTTTGCTTCTTGAAGATGAGGTGTACTGAACGTTACTCCACTTTGAGATGCACTTTCGAAATATGGTGACGAGCTTATGGTATTTGAGGCCGTCATTGTCTTCATTGACTCGATTTGGATATGTTGTTGATCATATATAATATGATCTCATTCACCCTCACTCGCTTATTTGGTCGAAGATGCTTGGGTGCTTTGCATTACATCCCATGAACCTCCAACCCAATTTAACTAAGTCTCCGTTGAAGCATGATATGGAAGATAAAAACCAAAACTAGTATGGGATGTAAAATAATCAGCAAAAGCAGAAGTAGAAGACGAAGATGATGATGGATTCTTGGCCTTTTGTGAATTTGGCCTTTCCCCGTTCACATTCTTCACTCTCTTCCAATGCAGTTAAATATAATTTCCCATTTGCTTTATAAATTTTGAGGTAGGGAGAAATGTCGAAATCAAGGTCAATGTGTGTAATCTCGTAACGCATAGAGACCGATAAATGACACTGATTCCATTGGTCAATGTAGACAACATATTTCCTTGGTCAATTATATTTATATTTCCCACACATATCAATTATATAGAGCGCATACATATCAAATATTTGCGTAAGAATCAATTGATGAGACCTAAACTATCGCAAAACTTTATCTGCGGCGTGAATCTCAACAATCGTAAAGTGTAGCAAAGGCGTAACGGCACACCACAACTCCGACCCTTCAAAAAATCCTGGTGACAGTAACCGGTAAGCCTCATCATCAAAATGCGAGATCCAAAAAAACTGAACGTGCACAATTAATAAAAGTTAGTATATATTAATTAATTAATTATTATTAATTTTTAGTAATTTAAAAATTAATATTTAACGCATGTTGATTGACGATATCGATTCTCATTCGTATATCTCTTTTAGTTGCATCTGACAACTTAGTCTTGGTAATTTTATGTCGCCATCTAAATAATATAAAAATTAAAAAATCCCAAAAATAAATTTAAAAATTTACTAAAAAAATAATGTTAAAAAAATTACCTTGCAGCGAGAGAAAACTCAATTGGGACAGTTGTAATTGGCGTAAAAAACTGGAACTGGTACCATGCCTATGATTGTAGTAGGACTAGACAACCCGCTACATCCACTTTTTGACCTTGTTCGACAATTGTAACCTTGCAAAGTTTTCGGTATAAAAAAGTCAAAATTACCGAGTCCCAACTAGTATTGCAACACTAAAAAAAATTCTCCAATATCATAAGATACTAAATGTGCGTCAACTTACCATATTTATCTGGTAACAATATTCCTGTAATAAATTGGAGCAGATAATCTTAGGCTGCAAAAATCACCTCAACCTCTATCACATAAAATTTGAACTCTAACCAAGTAATTTGTATCTAGTACCGCTCTAGAACCTCTGATGTTGGCATCTTTCCCAAAACTTGGTGAACAATTCCGAATCGGTCGAAATTATTGTGCCTCACTACCGTCGCACCATTAACCGGAATACCAAGTTGGTAAGTGACATCATAATTGTCACTTCACTACTTGGAAAATGGAAAGAATGCGACTCCGGCCTCCAACGTTCAATGAGAGTCGTAATCAATGTCGGGTTCACCTTAAAACCATGCAAAAATGTCGCTGAATACAACCGGGTTGCTGCAAATCTATAATCCGTTGATGCAAATCTCTAAGACGTTCCTCGTTGATGAACAGCCCGTTCTTCTTCCGGACCGAGCTCGAGCGAAGAAATATGAACATCATCGAGGTGCAACATTTCATTGTAGTTAGATATTTTTCAGAAATTTTTAAAATATTCGATTTTTTTTCTTAACAAAACACAATAAAAAAACATAAATCCCCTATTTATAATCCCAATCCTAACGTTCATAAACAACTATATTTTCAAAAATATGACTGAACTCGTCACCGTGAAAAGTTTCATGATGACTATTGCAATCTGCCCGTTGTGCAACAACTAGAAATGACTATTTTTTTTTTTTAAATTCAAGGCAAACTCATCACCATGACGTGACAAGATTTATTTGCAATATACCCGTTGTAACTGTTGTGCAACAACTAAGAATGACTATTTTTTTGAAATTCAAGGTAAACACATCACCTCGACGTAATGAGATTTATAATTTTTTTAAATTTTAAATTATTGAATGAATAAAAAAAATAAATTTTAAGTGAACTCGTCACCTCGACATAACGAGTCACAATAAAAATATTAAAATATTGACCCACATACCTAAAACTATTAAAAAATATTTTCAAGTGAACTTATCACCTCGGCATGACTTGTTCACCGTTTATTGTAGAAAATACCATAGATAGCAAATTAAAATCTCTGTTAGCTATTGAGCTAAATAAATTCTCCGCTTGGGTATTGGAAAAAAAACCTTAAAATCCATAAATGCTGGATCTTTTTAGTGGGCTTTCTAGCCCAACTTTTATTTTCAAATTTGAAGCGCTAATCCAATGCACAAAAAAGTAAAATAATACAGAAAACCCTAGCTTCCTTTGCACCGTTTCCGATCGTTCCTTGTAAACCCTAATTTATTAAGAATTTTACATTAACTAAATATCTTCATGGCGAAGAAGGGCAAAGCAAAGTCGGCAAGAATTGAGATCGAAGAGAACGAATCGGGACTGTTAGATTCAGAATCATTGATGGTACTAAGCAGCAGTGACGACGAGGAAGCCAATGAAGACCTAAGCTTGAAAATTGTCGAGAAAGCACTATTGGTGAAAGCTGCGAGGTTTGATGAAGGAAACCATGGCGCTTCCGATGACAGAGGCGTCGTTTCAGTGGTGGACTTGGCCCCCTCGTCTTCTCGCAGAGGTACTGATGTAGCTGGTACAAGTGGTGTTGGTGAAGAGGCGGATTTGGATTTGAAAATTAAGAAGAGTGTTAAAAGGAAAACGAAGAAAACGAAAGTTGAAAAGGTTAAATTTCCGTTTTTTCTGTTTCTTTTTCAGTAATGTTGGTTTGGTTCGAATTTGTTACTTGAAAAGTTAGTTTTAGTTGAATTTGAATTGAAAAATTGATTCTTTTAAATACGTGGAGATGATGAGATGATACAATTTGTGAATCATAATTTTGTTGAACTTTTGAATATGATTTGAAGTGTTGCGAATTTTGAAAGAAATCGGGAATTACTGTATCTGTTTCAAAGTTGGGATCTTTTGAATATTATTGTTTTGCTATGGCAATTTGAATTCTCGCTGGTTCTGCTTGGTTCTTTGTTCAACCTATGTCATTGAAGAATTTTTGGATAAATATTGTTGAAGGTTTGTTGGCATTTTTGGTAATTGTGTATGTTTGCATTTGGTTGAATGTTTTTGGACAGAGTTTTTGAGTAGGGTATGGTCATTTCTGTGTTTATGTAGTGTAATGTAGTTCATTGCTGAGATGGTTGTCAATGCGTTTTGGTGGTATTGTATTCTTCTTGTACTTGGATTTTATGCAATAAAATTTTAAGGCACTCTTTTCCTCCTTCCGATGTCCGTTGAGACACTTTTGTTACTACGGTTATGGAGGGGGTTTTTAAGGAGGCCTTCCTATTTATAAAAAAAACCATTTTCTGTTTTTTTTTTAGTTTAATTAGTTCTTGTTTTTTGTTCTGTTTCTTTCTGTGAGTTCGTTGCGAAAGAAAAATTGATCTTTTCCCTTAAAAAAGCGGATCTTTTGTTTTTCCCATTTATTATTTATTTATTTGATAGAATCTCCGCTATAGATTACAGTTTTTGGTGACATCTGAGTTTGTGGTTGTTATTCACGTTTTAAGATCTTGAAGTATAAAGACAGTCAAGGGGTGATGGAGTTGGTGCTCTGATGCACTCTCAATGCTCAAATCAGCGTCTTATAGATAGTTAAAGATACCAAGTAAAGTGAGAGAATGAAAGAAGGGTAAGGAGATACCTTTTCTTTGGGGATGCCAGCTTGCCTTTGTATTTACAGTACACCCTGTAATATATGGGCCCAACTTTCTGCTCTGGGAAAATGCGGGAAAGGAATCATACTTTTGTTGAACTTTGTAATTCAAATAATGCTACTCTGGTCTGGTATGCTGGATGTGGCTTCAAATAACAGTTTGAATTGGACTTCTATTTATCAACATTGCTTTTATTGCCATGATGGTTTTTATTAAGCTGGTTATGCATTGTTTTTTTTTTGTTGAATGAGTTGAATAAATTTTGTACTGCATTCAATCTCGCAGCATTTTATATGGCGAAGTTTTTAATTCAATCTGCCATCTGTTATGAGGAAATTTTTGTTTTGGTTGCACCAGGTTATAGAGGATGGAGATAATGCTGAGATGATAGACAAAGCTGAGACAGTTGAGCAGGCTATTACGGCTAAGGCTGCAGAGCCTGTTGAATCTCTTGATGCAAATACTGTGGACAAAGCTGACAATATTGTGCTCCGAAAGCTTCTTGTGAGTTAAATATTTTCTTTGAACGGTAGTTTAGAAGAAAGTTTCCCTTGATGGATTGGTTTTTAGCATCACTTTGATATTTCTTCTATCAGCGAGGGGCCAGATACTTTGATCCTCCAGATAGTGCTTGGGAAACATGCTATACTTGTGGCGAAGAAGGGCATATGGCAGTTAACTGTAAATCTTCTTCAAAGAGGAAGAAACCATGCTTTCTTTGTGGGAGTTTGGATCACGGTGCTAGACAGTGCTCAAAGGTATAATTAGAAAATTGATGTGAAACTTAATGAAATGTCATGTACCATGTCTTTTAACTTGTAGCTTTTTTTTTTTGAAATTTTCAGTTCCTATTTCTGGGTTGGAAGTGGTGGGTCCTTTTGTTAGTTTTTTCTCATTTCATAATTGGAAAATGCAGCTATTAGAAGTTACTGCAAAAATTTTTCCTGGAAAATAGTTAGACATACTTGTTTCTTGCCTTTATAAATTTGGAATCTTGGCAGACTGTTGATATTACAATGATACTTTTTAGTGGTTAAGCAAATAGGATATCTCTTAGCTTTCTTGTATGCTTTAGCTCTTTGAATTGTTTGTAGATCCAAACGGTGGATGCGTCAATTACCTAATATTTTTTTCACTTTTCCTCGACTTGTTTGACTTCAAATGGAAACTAGCAAGTGGTCCTACTGGTGATTGTTAATAGCTTGTATTGAGATTTTTAATGAGGATCAGTACTATTGTTGTGCTTATAATTTTAATTTCTTTGTAGGCACAAGATTGCTTTATCTGCAAAAAAGGTGGTCACCGTGCAAAAGATTGTCCAAACAAACACAATAATGGCATGAAGTACGGTAATATTTGTTTAAGATGTGGAGGCTCTGGGCATGACATGTTTTCATGCAGGAATGACTATTCCCATGGTGATATCAAGGTTTCTTCATGTTTCCTACTAGTATTGTTCATTATCATCTTTTCCGTTTTTGCTGATTGCGATTTCCTAATTATATTACTTGTGCTTTTCTCCTCTCAAATCAGGAGTTACAGTGCTATATCTGCAAGGGTTTTGGCCATTTATGTTGTGTTGACTTTGTTGATGCCAAAGTAAGAGAAGTTTCCTGTTACAGATGTGGCCAATTGGGTCATACTGGTTTGGTGAGTTCTACAAGTTAGGCTCATTATATTTTCAGAATTAATAGAACGTACATACTGTTTCAGTTGCAGGGAGATTGTTTGCTTATCTGTCCGTGAACTTAATTTCAGAATATTAACTTTCCAGTTGTCCACTAGTCTTTGAACAATCATTTTCATGAACATTCTTCAAAATATTTCTTCTTTCATTCACGTGATCATATTTGCATTTTGCATATGTTCATTTGTTATAGTTGTTAACTGTGCCATTTAACATGGGAATTTTTTCTGCAGTCATGTGGTAGATCATACAGAGAAACAAAAGAAGCCATTGATAACGGGTCACCTAGCTTATGCTATAAGTGCGGTGAAGGTGGACACTTTGCGCGGGAATGCACCACCGGCACTCCATCATCTAGCTTATGCTACAAGTGCGGAGGAGGAGGACACTTTGCTCGGGAATGCAGTTCCGCTAAAGTAAATATCAGTACAGAATTAAGTGTCGGTCCATTGTTCATTTATGTTTTTTACTTGCGGGATAATTTTTGTGCTTGATTCGTTACTGACAAATGCTATTCTTTGTGAAACAGGTTGTTAAAAGAAATCGTGAAGATGGAAGACCTCGTAGAGAAAATAGAGAGTACTTGGGATACAAGTCTGCACCTCATGACCAGGGCAAGATCCGCAAAAGGAAAAAGATAAAGTACGAAGAAAACAACTTCAGTACACCACGAAAAGAAAAACAAAGAGGTGGTTGGATTACAGAGGATCCCGGAGATTTCTCCAACAGGAAGTTGTCCACAAGGAGCCATTGGAGTTCTCCCAAAACCCCTCCTGCGGAGGGACGTAAGAAGTTGTCTTCAGCTTCTGGTGATCGTAGGACAGGTTCTCGATCATCTAAAACCAGAAATTCTCATAGATATTCGGCATCAAGGTTCAGCAATTTCGGCAATGATGAACCAAAGAGGGGTTACAATTGGTGGTAGGATCATTGTCATTATTGAACTCATTTAATCAGTTTCTTGTTCTCGTTTTCTAAATATTCATGGGGCTTCATTGTGTGTGTTTAATATGAAAGAAAAGGAAAGATTACAATACATAGGTGCTCGTGCTCAGTTTTAAGTTAAATGTTCGCCTTCCCTAAAATCAAATTAGCTTTTCAATTTTAAAGCATATCCTGCTTTATCTTTCCTAAAATCTCTTCTTTTTGTTGTTTCTCTAATTTTGTTATTCAAGTTGTATGATTGAATTGCTGTTACTTTCTTATAATAATATAAACGGATCCTGCCAAAAGTAAAAATGGGTCATTTCTCTTAATTTCTTAAGATCAGTTTTTTTCCCCTCAAAATCATTCTTCACTAACCTATCTTCTTCCAATTAGATAGATAGTGACATGCATTGAATTAAATTAATTTCAAACCAAATTGGCTGAATACATAAATAATAAAAATTAAATATATAATCATATTAAATTTATTAATTATCATATTAATTCTTTGGTTAAGCGTTTATGACGAATGCTTCGATTAATATTATCTATGATTGATAAAATTAAAATCTTGATACTCAAATTAAAAATCTACTCAAAATTAAGTGGACATAAATATACTTTGCTAACTAAAAAATGTGACAAAAGGAAATTTGACCGTTCAACCCGTCACCAGCGGTTTGTTTAGTTGTAAGATACCTTAGCCCATAAATTCTCCTTTTCCCAGTATAAAACTAAGAAAAGATATATAGTAGCAGGGCCAGGATGTAATTGTTCCATATTTGTCACTCATAATAATAAACTAATCCCCTGAATACGATACCAAAGTCCACACCACTATGTTTCACTAGCCATGATTCAGCCACTGAATATCTTCTTCTCCGTCAAGCTTTCAAACTTATCCTTTATACTTACCTCCACTGGGGTAAAGTTAATGCCTAGAGTTTTTGCTTTCTCCATCGACACCTGAAACACCGGCATACCTAGCTTCTCGTCTGCACATCTGCCAAAATTTGTAGCAGTTCCGGTTAACCAAGGCTACATTTGACAAACAATCCTTGCCACTCCCAACATTGGACAGCTATTAAATCTCTGTTACCCGGATTTACATTTTCCTTAAATTGCTTATCTCCAACACTTGTGCTTGATACGTGGTTAGACATGGATATGGCGAAAACACGTTTCATACGACACGCGCTCGTAAGTCCAGATAGCATAGACAAAGCAAACAAAGCTGAGACATTATTGAAATTTAGTTGCTTCTGAATGGTTAGAATTTTACGAGCATGATTTGATGCTCATATACTCGAGACTTACTTGCCAGGAAGACAAAGAGCAGGGTAAAGCTTGCGTAAAACCTGCACAACTTCCGAGCAGTGCATACCTCTCTCAACTAAAAAGTATCTTGCGCTGAAGAATTCTCAAACGCTATTACATGTGCGTTTCAACATCTATAACATCTATTAGTCGATAAGTTGCGTTCGGATATGTTTCAGGCCCTGCACCGAATAGTGGCAATGTTAGAGCTCGAGAAGTTCTAGATTCCTCTTACATTTACAGCACATATATTTATACTCAAACACTGCTTTTTGTGCACAAAAACAAGAAATAAGCTAAAGCAAAAGAAATAAATCTCAGTTCAGTATACAAATATTTTATTCTCAGGTAAGTTTATCAGCAATAGTTGCTAAAATGGATAATATCTGGTCTGCTAAATCTAGAGGGATAGTACTATTTATAAGTTTCAAAATCGGTTTCACGCTTGTATTAACAGTTGGCTGTAAGACAGGCCCAATCACCAACTCCGGATGTATCGAAACCATGTCGATGCCATTATCTTTTGTAAACTTCCAAGCAGCATCCTCGGCTAGCGTCTTAGAAAGCACATACCAAAGCTGATGACAAGCAGCAGAAACATTGATAAACAAAAGATTCTATCATGCCTCGAAATGTTCCTTTCTGCAGCAACAGGAATGGAATTGAGTACGCCTAAAAAACGATTTGAATTAAGCATCATATTAGAGTGTAAAACCCCTCACTTCCCACAAAATAAAACCATAACAGAAACAGGAAGGAAAAGGGAGCCAATAAGCATTAATATTAAAGATTTGCAGTTAGATCAGAAGGAAATAAAATAGTTTAACCATTTCACTAATGATCTTCTATGTTATAGTAATGTCTATATGTTGATGAATCAGCGGATAAACAACGAGCAAGAAAAAAGAACAAAAGGGAGTGTTTCCGTATGATTCTTAAGAACACTGGGCTAGCTTTGGGCTCTTGCTCAAACTGGCAGTATGACATCATTTAGTAACTTAAGAAAGCTAATGCACTTATGCTCCACATGTTTTGAACATAAATATATGCTATATGAGTTAGTCGATTTGCATACCTTTGATTTCTCACAGTAATTGGGATCCGAGAACCAAGTTTCATCGTAGCAATATTAGGACCATAACTCGTGTATCTAAATTAATTGATAGATTAAAATCCATAAATCTTTTTTAGTTGTGATCTTCTAAAAAATAAAGTTCCCTTTAAGTATAAACTCTCTGATGAGGATAAAAGTAAATACAAGATTTTCTATTTTTTGGGGACCACAACCCCTTTATATAACTGATTTAAGAATCAGTTATTGTATGTACTTATAACTCTACCCCTCATAGAATTATAAATATAACTTTAATAATATCTACACTTTTATTTTCATGACACTTCTAATACCTTATGACTTTATAACATAATTGATCACTTAATTTAAGTCATATTTTATGACAACAACATACATTATAAATATGTGTCCATAATTATGGATTTTAATCCAACAATCACCCACTTGGGCAACATCTTGATAAATGTATAACCTTATGAGCTCAAAATTTGTTATCATGCAATATGTATTCTATAATAATCTCGCCCATCAACTATATCCATATAGAATCAAAGTGGCATTTGCCATATCAATCATGACTAGACCCATCAATGTTCACATATACAAACACAGTCAAATGACATGATCAATCATGGAGCGTAGCATGGAAATTACATGCGATGTGAACCACACATGTCTATTTTCAACTAGTCCTCTTTAAACATTAGTGAGATCAAAATTTACCAAAATCAGAGAGTGGATATGTAACATCCTCAATACCGGGTTAGTGACTAAATTGTAAAGTCTCAGAATTTGGTGGTTAAAATAAAATGAATGAATAGTATAAAGATTTACATGTAAATTATTGTGTAGGATGGAATTGAAAGGAATAAGAAATGGAAGGACAATAGAGTAATTGAAAGGAAAAATAATTAAAGATAGGATAAATATGTATATATAAGGATACACGTGGGTGGAATGGGAGAAAACACCCAAGGCTTCCAGAGTTCTCTTCTTCTTCTTTCTTCCTTGTGCGTGTGAACCAAAGCAAAGGTAAGATTTCTGATTATTGAGTTTCTTGTTAAATTTAAGATTGGTTTTTGATTATTAGATGATAACTAAGCTTAAGGAAAGCTTAAGTTATCTTAACATCAAAGGATGATGGAGTTAGGAGAGATTTAAGATTTGAAGTTCTTAAATGAAATCTTGGAATAGAGTTCATAACTAGAATTGAAAGTTAAATTTGATTTGTCATCAATCTAGATACGAAGTGTTAAAAGTGGAATTCAAACATGTTGAATTATTGATGTAATTCTTGAATTGCATATGAAGGATAGGATTTGGAGGTTTAAGATGAAATAAATGAGTATAAATTGGTTTAAGGATGTGTACTAGAGTTAAGAATGAAAAAGGGAATTAAATATGAAGGATTTAATCCAAAATGAATGAATTTTCGGGTTCAAAAAGATGATTCTGGGCAGAGTGCATCGATGCATATTCATAGTGCATCGATGCATCAAGGTTAAAACCCAGAGATTGTTTGAAGGTGTATCAATGCACAGGTAGTGCATCAATGCACTCTTTTAAAATAAAAAATCGAATGCAATTAGTGCATCGATGCATAAGGCATGCATCGATGCATCCCATTAATAATAAAACATCGAATGCATTTTATGCACCGATGCACAAGTAGTGCATCGATACATACCTTCATTAAAAGAGGAATTGTCATTTATCTTAATCTAAAGAGTGAACCATTAAAGTATATTAGCTATAATACTCATATAGATCCATGTGTGATTATGTAGATACTAAAAGTAAGCTTATTCTGAAACGATCAAAGGATTAGAATCGAATCAAAGCAAAGCTAAGGTGAGTGCATACTATATGTATAGTATAATGAAATAAGACTTGTGATAAGTCTAATCCCTATATTGATTTTCATAGTACAATAGTTGTGAACATGCATACATGATAATTATTGTAATACATGCATAAGGCATATATATGTTAATGTGATTGGATAAATGAGGTATATATATATGAATAAATCCAAATACACATGTGATATGATATGTGATATGAGAACATGACATGAAGTAAGTGACATGAGCTACATGATCATAAGAGAAATAACATGAGTACATGAACATATGCAATATAAGAATAATGCCCATAGTATACGATATGAGAGCTATAGGTGTAATTGGCATGCCAAGAGTCGAGGGTATAATATTCTTTCGGGACGTAGTCCTTCGGGATATAGTGGTCCTACGAGACATATATAACAGTCCTTCGGGACGAATACTGAACTAAGGTTCGGTGCCCCATGAGGGAATTGATACGAGCTGTGGTGACAGCATTAGTGCACAACCTCAATGTACTCACATACCTCTATTCTCAATAATATACATGGGCAATTGAATTACAAAGTGAAGTGAAAGTGGTACAAGAAGGTAAGTTTCGTACATGTATGATATGATTATATATGTTATTGTGTAATAGATACATGCATATTGAAATGTCATTAAGGAAATAGTAAGAATGCATATTCATGAAGATATTGTTGCATATTTATTTATTGCCTCACTAAGTATATGACTTAGCGTGTAAGTGATTTACACGTAGGTACCGAGAAATAAGAAGATTCATAATAGAAGTGGCACGAACAACAACATTACTAAGAAATCAAATCAGAAGTAATTGACAAA